GAGGAGGAGGAGGAGGAGAAGAAGAAGAAGAAGAAGAAGAAGAAGAAGAAGAAGAAGAAGAAGAAGAAGAAGAAGAAGAAGAAGAAGAAGTCATCTGTATGTCCTTCTTTGGTCCCAGTGAGTAGCCTTGACCTTCTTTGCTCCTTTATACCTTACAGAACTCAGTTTCCCCATTTTTTAGTGCTAGGGCTTGAGTCCAAGGCCTCATGCATGCTGGGCAAGCCCTTTACCTCTGAGCTATACCCCAGCCTTTTAAGCAATTTTGAAATTTTGAGACAGGGTCTTGCCAAGTTGCCCAGGCTGGGTCTGAACCCATGATTTTCCTTCCTTGATGTCCCAAGTAGCTGGGATTACATGTGCAACCCCATCCCCAGTCAGCTCTCCTGTCCCTCACACTGTGCCCTGGTGGCCAGGATGGTGGGTGGGGCCACTATCTGCCCAGGCTATTTGTTTGTCTTCTTCTAGGGCTGCCACCCTGGTAAGGCCCTTGGATAAAAGGCCAGGGCACCTGTGTACTGCTTCCTCCTCTCCAACCTGGATCATGCTCTGGCTCCTCTGTGCCCTGATGTTCCTGGGGGCGCTGGTCGCCCCAGAAGGTGAGCCTTATGGTCCCTCATAGAGGGGGAAGGTAGGCCCAAAGTTACCTGAGAGAGTTGGCTTCAGAGTGTGCATCCCAGGCCCTTCCACCCAGCTGTGGGCAGCAGTAGAGTGGTTGAGAAAGAGCAGGGTTCTGGAGCCAGGCTGCCTGGGTTCAAATCCCAGCTCTGCCACTTTTTAACTGTGGGACTCTAGTGAAGTCACTTAACCACTCTGTGCTTCAGTTGTCCCCTCTGTGGAATGCGGATGATAAGGACCCCGCTGTTTATTGGATGCATGTGTTTGAGGAGCTCAGGGCAGTACCGGGCTGGTGGTCACCCTGTATGAGGGTGGGTTCTTATGCATACCCAAGAGCCATTATTACTATGAGTCTTTGACTTTGCCTGCCTGTCTTCATATTGGCTTTCATTCTGCAGCTTTGGGTGTGGGTGGGAAAATATGCAGCTTCCATCCCTGCCAAGACCTCTCCATGCGATTTTTTTTTTTTTTCCGGAACTGGGGATTGAACTCAGGCCCTTGCACTTGCCAAGCAAGCACTTATTCTACTGAGCTATCTCTCCGGCCCCTCTCCATGTGATCTTGAGCAAGACCTTGGGCCAGCAATGGTGAACCTTTTAGAGCTTTCTGTGATAGAAAACATCTGGCTCTGACACGCGTGCCATAGGCTCATCCCCCCTGCCCTCAGCCTTCTGGCCTGTTTCCTCATCTGGAAGACAAGGGTGTGAGAGGAGGAGGTTTTTTTCTAAGAAGCAGGATGAGGGATGGCTGGGAGGGTGGATTCCAAATTTGCCTGCTCAGTTCTGGCTTTGGAGGCCTGAGGGCCAGACGGGGCTCCAGCAGCTGCAGCTGGGAGAGCCCGAAGACCCCGCTTCCACACTTCTGCTATGGGGAACTGCCTGCCAGATGCTGTCCCCACTCCTCCAGGAAAACACTCCTTGATCTGCCAACCACCCTCCCTCCTACGGCATCACCCAATCACTGTTCTTGAATCCCAAGTGTGTGCAGGTGTGAGCACGTGTGTGTGCATGGGTGTACATGCATAGACATGAGATCTTCACTCCCCGCTCAAGCCACAGGGTCTGATCCCTCCTCTGTCCCCACAGGAGCCTCCAAGACCTGTCCCGCCTGCTCCTCACGGTCTCACTGCAGGAACATCACCTGTCCTGCGGCCCAGGACTCCTGCCTGCTCAGCCAGATGCAGCTGGGTAGGGATGCAATGGCAGGGGTAGTGGGAAGATGAAGGGACTGGGCCAGGTGTGGGTTGGGGCTGCCCAGTGCCCTGGAGGCTGCACACCTCCAACTCAACTGGGTGCTGCTGTGAGGCATGGGGTGCTAGATTGGGTGAATACAGAGCCCAACAGTGACCTTTTGGGGTCACCACAGAGGGGTAGGGGCCCGGAGAGCTTGGGAATGGGGCCCTAACATCTGCTTCTGACCTCTAATCCCCAGAAAATGGGACCGTGGTGGAGAGTGGGTCTTGCGTGGCTTCTGGACAGTGCCAGGAAGGCATCAGCATCCTGACCTATGCCCCCAACTCCAAGCTCTGGGTCAGCACCGCCTGCTGTGCAAACAGCTGCAGCGACGCTGATCCACGACGAGGTTGGTCTGCAGCGGGTCCTGGGGCGTCGTGGATCTGGATGGGAGCTGGGGGAGCGGGGGAGCGGGCCAGGAGCTCTGGCCTTGTAGCTTTCTCACTGACTGCTTGGGATGAGAAAGAACTTTAATTCCCATAATAGCAGCACTCTGGGAGGCTGAGTCGGGAGGATCATAAGTTTGATCCAGTTTAGGCAATTTAGCAACTTAGAAAAACTTTGTCTCAAAATGTATATATATTAGTGTGTGTGTATTATGGTGGTGCACACCTGTTATCCCAGCACTCAGGAGGCTGAGGCAGGAGGATCACTATGAGTTCAAGCCCAGCCTGGGCTACAAAGTGAGTTTTAGGCCAGCCTGAAATACATAGTTTAAAAGGTGAGGACTTAAAAAAGAAAAAATTTAAAAAGGGGCTGGTGAGATGGCTCAGTGGTCTAAAGCACCTACTTAGAACAAGCTTAGCAAAGCACAGGGACCACGGTTCAACCCCCCAGCACCACATGCCAGCCAGCCCCCCCCAAATAAAAAATAAAATAAATAAAATAAAAGGTGAGGACTCAGTGCAAAACTCTTGGGTTAGGAAAAAACAAACAAACAACACACACACACACACACACACACACACACACACACCTGTTTTTGCATCTGGAAAGTGGTATGGGATCAGCTTTATAGGGGTGTATCCCCTCGTTTGGCACACAGTAGGCACTCTGTATTTTGTAGCTGTGCTGCAATTACTGGGGATTGAGTTACTGGGGGTGGTGAAGAGCCCAGAATGCTTATCTCTATAGAACCTTTTCTTCATGTTTCCCCTAAGGCAAGTTGGGCAGAACAAGTGCTACGGGTGTTGACAGACCCAGGGCCAGGGTGAGGCCAGCCAGGGGCTGAGGTGCCGAGGCCAGGGAGGTGCTGCTGTGCTGCTGGCTTCTTGCTCGCCTGGCCCTGAGGGCGAGGCCTCATTAAGATTTTGTGCTCTTGGTGTCAGCCTAGACCAGGCTTTGGGTGGTGATCAGGATAATTTTTTGATGCATGGTTATTTCTTCAAGGAAGGAATTTGTATTTGGCAGAGGCAGCAACAGGGAGATCCAGCACTCGGGGCTACTTGGCATCCTTTTGAACGACTGCAGTTTCCCTCTAAATTCTAAATTGTGGATCTCAATACAAACCTGCCAGCTCCAAGCTGAGACCTGGGCATGCTCTTCAGCATATAAAATGCCAGTTGGGATAATAACTGCAGTAAGAAAACTCTTTTATTTATGGTGAAAATTTGAAAGGAACACACCAGAATAAGTCTACTAGTTTGGTGGAGGGTCTGTGGCTGCACCATTAGAAATCTAACATAAGGGGCCGGGGACATGGCTCAGTGGAATAAGCACTTCTCTAGCAAGTGCAAGGGTCTGAGTTCAATCCCTGGTTCCGCAAAAAAAAAAAAAGAAAGAAAGAAAGAAAGAAAGAAAGAAAGAAAGAAAGAAATCTAACATAAGCCACATATATCATTACAACTTCTCTAATAGTCATATTAAAAAAATTAGTGAGGGGGGCCAGGGAGATGGCTCAGTGGAATAAGCACTTCTCTGGCAAGCGCAAGGGCCTGAGTTCAATCCCCGGTACCGGAAAAAAAAAAAAAAATTAGTGAAAGGGCAGGCAAGACAGTTCAGTGGACTAAGAGCCTGCTTGGGCGAACTCAGGGACTGGGATTCAATCCCCAGTACCACATGCCTCACCAGCCTCACCCCCAGGCGTGCTGAGCTGGCAACCGATTCTCAGTGTGGTGGTGCATGCCTTTAATCCCAGCTTTGGGGAGGCTGAAAACAGGAGAATCACAAGTCCAAGATGCGTAGTGAGGCCCTGTAACAAATACATAAAAAAAAATCTAGTGAAATTAATTTAAGTGATATGTTCTATTGAAGAAGATGCAGCCAAAATATTAACATTTTGACATGTATATGTTAATTGGGTTCCTTAGATAATCAATGCATAAAGAGAAAAGGTTTATTGGGGCTCACTGTTTTGGAGGTTGCAGTCCATGGTTGGCTGGGCTTGTAGCTTTTGATCCAGTGATAGGCAAGGCCGCTTATCATAATGGGAGTTCATGGCTCAGCAAAACCTCTCCCCTCATGGTAAGCTGGGAGCGAAAGAGCGAGAGAGTAGAAGTGACTGGAGACCCATAGTTCCCTTCCAGGCCCCACCTCCCGTGACCTAGAGATCTCCCACTAGGCCCCACCTCTTGAACGTTCTACTGCCTCTCAATGGTGCCAAACCAGAGACCAAGCCTTGAACATAGGTGCCTTCTGGGAACATTTCAGGCTCAAACTAGAGCAATGTAAATAATCAATACAGGATTTTTTTTTTTTTTTTGCGGAACTGGGGATTGAACTCAGGCCCTTACGCTTGCCAGGGAAGTGAATACAGGATTATTAATGAGATATTTTATATCCTTTTTTTTCATGCTAAATCTTTGAAATCTGCTCAAAGCTTTTTACACTAGAGGCACATCTCAAGAGAAATCAGTCACGCTTTAAGTGCTCCAGATCCATGTGTGACCAGTGGGCGTGTTTTAGGCAGCTTGTCACTATTGTAATGCTTTCTGTAGTTGACTTCTCTGAACCTGCCAGTGTTTCAGTTTGAGCTCTTATTTGTTTGTTTGTTTTTGTTTTTTGGTTTTTTTTGAACAAGGTGTCACTAAGTAGTCCAGGCTGGCCTTGAACTTGCTAGGTTGCCAAGGCTGGTGCTCAACTTGTTATCCTCCTGCCTCAGCCTCCCAAGCACTGAGGGCCGGGATGACAGGTGTGCACCCCCACATCTAGTTTATGACTGAGTTTTATTATTTTATGTAAGTATGTATGTATGTATGCATGTATGTGTGTGTGTGTATGTATTTGTTACAGGGTCTCACTTCACAGCTCAGACTCTAGTCATCCTCTTGTTTTCAGCTTCCACAGAGCTGGGATTATAGGCGTGCACCACCACGCCCAGACTCGGTCGCAGGCTCAGTGTACCTGAGGGCAGGGCCGTCGTGGCAGGTGGCACTGGGGATCAAACCCTGCTCCCTGCACTTGCCTAAGCAGCCCTTTAGTTCGCTGAGCTATCTCGCCGGCCCTAGATTGAGTTTTCACTCCGGAAAAATTATACTTCACATAGCTTCCTCTTAAATGTTTCAGATCTCTGGGGAAACTCTCATAATTAATCAGACAGTGATAAACCTGGAAGGCAGACTTCTGCTCTTTTGCAGAATATTACAGCATTTTAAACCTTAAAGAATGGAATCTCTTTGTAATCACTTTTGGAGTTCAAGGTCCCTGAGGGAGGGGCTCTGTCCGTGTGATCACTGCTGTCTGCGGGACCTAGAAGAATGCCCGAGACACAGGTGGCACTCAGGAAATGTTTGTGGCGTGAACAAAATAACCCCTACGATGCAGCCTGGTGGTTTCCTCAGGACAAAGGAGCTGCTCTGTTCATTGCTTCTCAGGATAAGTCTTTAGGGCTTGGAAGGAGGCAGCTGAGACCAAGCTGGTCCCACTTTGGAGACAAATGATCTGGGCTGCTCTGGGGGCAGCTTGAGGCCGGGAGAGAAGGGGCGGGGAGAACAAAGGGCTGATGGGGATGGAGGGCCTGGAAGGGCTCCTCAGCCTCCATGCCCAGAACTCTGACTTCCTCCATCCCACCAGAGCCCAAGCCCAAGGCCAACCATGTGACGTGTCAATACTGTTCTGGGAATAAATCAGTTCCGTGTGACTCCCTTTCGGTCATGAAATGCACTGGGAACCAGACCGTGTGTGTCACCCTCAGTGGAACGTGGAGTGGAGGTAAGGACCCCTCCCCTTCAGGAGGTCATTTGCATGGCAAACCTCCCTCCCTCTTGCACCAGTTCATGTTAAGGTCCCTTTTTTGTATGTGTTCTGTTATGCTGTTGCTATTCAACAAATCACCTGCAAACTTCTTGCCTTAAGATGTCAATCGTCTTATTATTCTTAGAGTTTCTGTGGATTGGGGAGCCAGGCAGAGCTTGGGCGCACAGTTCTGAGTCCCTCATGTGTTTTCAGTTGGAGGGAGCTGGAGCTGGGGCTGCAGGGCTAAGCCCAGCCGGGCTGAGCAGCTCTCAGATACGGTCTTTCCACCTTATCTTGCTGCATGGGCTGAGTTGCGCTTCCTCACATCATGGCGGCTCAGACCCTTTCCCTAGTAACTGAAGACTCCATCCAGAAAATGAGGTGGCATCTACCTGGACTTTTATGACCAAGCCCTGCAAGTCACATACTGTTACTTCTGCCACTGTGTGTTGATTGACGAGGTGGCAAAAGTCCATTTGCTTTCAAGGAAGTGGTGAGGAGAAGAGGCACCAATGCCACCTGTTGATGTCTCTGAGAACTCACACAAGTATTTAGAAATCACCTCCATGTGTTTGTAAATAATTGTGGCACAGGAATTTTCAGCAAAGGCTTATGACAGAGCCATCCTAGTCAGAGAATAGGTTGACTCTGGAGTGACCACAGGAACAAAAGGAAGGTGTCTCCTGCGGCAGTCTGGGGGACTAGACTCTCTAAAGGTGGTAGATTTGGTGTTGAGGGAGGGGGGTTCCCTCTGGCAAGAATGAGTATTATATCAGTGGTGTTATTCAGAACTTCTGGTTCATAGTGGTAATAAACACCACACTGACCTTAAATTGATATTGATATATATATTTTTCTAAGACTATACTTCTCTCTCTCTTTTTTTAAAATTATTTATTTATTTTTACATTTATTTATTGTGTGTGTGTGTGTGTGTGTGTGGCCAGCTCAGCCCACCAGGGGGCGGAGCTGGCTGGCATGTGGTGCTGGGGGATTGAACCGCGGTCCCTGAGCTTTGCTAAGCTTGTTCTAAGTAGGTGCTTTAGACCACTGAGCCATCTCTCCAGCCCCAAGACTATACTTCTCTTTGCAGCCTATTTTCATGATGGGTTGCTCCTACTAGCACCCTCCCCAGCCTGGCATGTCGCTGTTTATAGATGGACCAAATCTTTATGAAAATATTTTCTCAAAAAAATAGAAAAGAAAATATTTTCCCCATGCTGTTTTGAACTTTAGGGAAGTTAGGGAGATGACTAGGGATTCTTAGACCAAACGAAAAGGTGAGCTGAAATCAGAGCAAGAGTAATGAACAATATACAAGGCAAAGCGGCTACAAGCATGACTGGTCGCAACTTGCTTTGGGTACGTAGGTCTTAGGACCTGTGGTGGGAAGCTGAGCCTTAGATTTGTGCAAAAGCCAGAGAACTTGGAAGGCTGCTGAAGAGGTCCCAGCTGGGTAGCAGCATCTGACCGTGTCGAAACAAAAGCAAAGCTTCTCAGGGCAAAATGCCCCTGGGATCCCCTCAGATCATCCACCAAACAGGAGCTCACAATCTCAGCTTGTGGAATGCATGAGGAAGCCTTCCTCTACCTCCATGCAATATATTTGAAGGAATAAAGTTAGAATCGCTGTATGAATAATTAAATGCAGGCAACAAATGGTTGTAGAACATGGTAAGATAGATTTGAAAATGAATCAGATAGAAGTCGGCAAGAGGCGGGAACATCTGGACAGAAGAAGAGAGCTGTCGAGGCGAGAGGCGTGGGCTTGGGCCTCTCCTTACAGCCTCTCCTGTCTCTGCAGGGGGTCCCCAGATCCTGAAGGGCTGTGCCACACCAGACGTCTGCCACCTGCACGTGAATGACACCCTGGGCCCCAAGGAGTCTGGATTCCGCCTAACCTCCAAGCCTGACTGCAGCCCCCAGGACCCTCCCACAAAACTAGGTGCCCTTCCTGAAGCCGCCCTCCCCGCTTTCCCTGAGTCCCATATTCTCTGTCACTGTATTCCCTGGGAACCTTGTCCCCCACCTTACACAGAGCAGTACATTTGCATAGAATATCACACAGCGCATTATATACTCATAAACAGAAAGTCCTTTGGCACAAAGCCACAACAATTGATTGAGTGATTGCAGTACTGGGGAATGAATCTCCACTCTTCCACTCCCCAGCTATTTTTATTTTATTTTATTTTATTTTATTTTACAGGTACAGGATCTCACTATGCAGCTCAGACTTATAGTGATCTTCCTGTCTCAGCCTTCCCAGCACTGGGATTATAGGTGTGAGCCACCATGCCCTGTTTTGAGGCTGGTGCAATATACCTGGGGTTCCAGGGCCGGCACCTCATGCGGTACTGGGGATTGAACCCAGGTCCTTGGGCTTGCCAGGCAAGCAGTTAGACCTCCAAACTATCTCCGCAGACTTACTTTTTGAATTTTGAGACAGGGTCTTGCTAAGTTGCTGAAATGCCCAGGCTGGGCTCAGGGGCTCCACAGTGGGGGGTTGTAGGTGAGCACCACTGCGATTGATTGAACACCCACATTCTAGCCCCGCATCCACCACACATCTGCAGAGGTGCCTGAATTTCAAGCAGGAACATCCTTTAGTTCAAGTGAGATTAGAGATTCAAACTCACTTAAGGAACAAATCTGATGGTATTTTTCTTTTCTCTACTATCTTGCTTGTGAACAGAGACAGGTTTGCCAATAGCCCTCTTTTGGGTTACCAAAGAACACTCACAATTTTTTTCTTCCAGAAAAGAGACATGCTAATTGAAGGAGTACTTCCTGGGGCAACAGCTTATTAAATGAGTCAACTTTACAGAATTATCGGTTTTAGAGGTGAGAAAGGCAATTTTCCCCAGACAGAGCAGCATTTTCTCAGCTCCAGCAATGTGAAGATGCTGTTTTTAGAAACTTCTTAGCAAGGACCATTCTTCAGCGCAGAATAGGATCCGCTTGCTGACTCTGCGGGCAAAGCAGGCACATTCTCACCTCCGCTGTCTCCAATTCCCAGATGCTGACAGGCTTACTTTTTAAAACTATTCAGTGGATTAAGTTAACTATCACAGTGAAAAGAAGAAAGGCAGATGGGGAACTTGACATTTACAATATGGAAAGTAAAAGGGCAAAATAAGATTGCTGACCACAGGGACTTGGAACATGGGAGTTTTAATGTACAGTTTCTATGGACACAGACGTGTAAAGCAGTCACACATGAATACGTTGATTTTCAAATGCATATTCAGGGGTTGGGGAGGACAAGTGCAAACATGCACAAACATGCAGAAGCACAAATTATACATAGGTGTTACTGACATCCACAAATATCCCTGGCTGTACATCAACATATCCAAGGACCTCACACTTTGTTGGGAACATACATATCATACCACAACGCACACAGGCCTGCAGAACCAGCCTAAAAACCCATATGTCTGTTCAGACCCACATGCATTTTGTGGACACCTGCTCGTGCAGGGCCCATAGGAGTACATACATGCAGAAGCCTTTACCCCTCCTCAGTCAGCTGGAGACACACAGATGCACACAGCCAGTTGTATACCCAACATAGAGCCCTCCATACTCAGCCCTACAAACAGGGTCATTGCAGAAGGACACACACACAAGAACACTTTTGCACACTCAAAATGATGTGCCCCCCAAACATGAGCATGCACACATATTCACACGTGCTGGTTGTCTGTCTTTCTCTCCATGTCCCCATGCAGCTGTGAGCCACACCAGCCCAAAGGCTACCATCTGTTTCACCTGCTCAGACCCCCACCACTGTGACCCTCTGCCCTGTCCGGAGGACAGGAACTACTGCCTTGGGATAGCAGGCATCACCGGTGAGTGCCCATGGGGACAGAAACAGGGCCCAGGGTATGCCAAGGCCTCTCTTTGCACCCCTAGGTTGGTGGCCTCAACTTTCTTGGCCATGCAGGGCAGAAGCTGTACAGAGCAAAAGCCAATGGCATGGTTATTTAATTATTGCTAAATAACAATCAGCTCAAAACTTAACGACTTCACCAGTCACAAAAGGACAAATACTATATGATTTCACTTAGAAGAGACATCTCATGAAGTGGCAAGTAGAACAGCGATATCCAGGAGTTGTGGAAGAAGGGAATGAGTTGTTTGATGGGCACAGAATTTCAGTTTTGCATAATGAAAATGTTCTAGATATCTGTTATACAACGATGTATAACACTACCAAAATGTACTCTTAAATATGGTTAACAGGATAAACTTTATGTTATGTTTCTTTTGAATCACAACTTTATTTTCTTCTTCTTATTTTTTGCATTTAGGACAGGGTCTACAGCATCTACAGGGTCTCATTATGTAGATTAGATTTGTAGTGATCCGCCTGTGTTCAGCCTCCCAAGAGCTGGGATTACAGGGGCATGCCACCATGCCCACCCTCAACTGCAGTCTCAGCGTGCCCCAAGACTGGGGCCGGCACAGCATGCTGGGCTTTAATCCGCTGAGCTATTTGGCCAGCCCTGAACCACAACTTTAAACTTCATAGTTTTAAACAATGATTTATTATTGTTCATGATCATCCCCTGACTGGGCTCAGCTGGGCAGCTCTTCTGCTCTGAGCAGTGAATGCTAAGTTCTCTTGTGTGGCGGCAGGCATCTGGGAGCTCCATCAGGGCAGGAGAGCTTGACACAGCCTCTCCTTCTGCAGGGCATCTCTTGGGCTGGAGAGATAACTCAGTAGAATAAGCGCCTGCCTGGCCAGCGCAGGGTCTTGAGTTCAATCTCTGGTACCACAAAAATAAATAAATAAAATAAAATAAAATGGGGCCTCTCTCCACAAAGTCATATGTTGGTGGTTGTCTTTCTCTTTCTCCATGTCCCCATGCTGCTGTGAGCCACACCAACCCAAAGGTGGTTGGTGGTTTGGTTTGAGCTTCCTCACAGGAGGGTCACTGCTGGCCACCAAGAAGAAAGAAGTGGACACACCAGAAGACAGGCTCAGCACTGACACAGATTCATTTCTGCTTCAGCCTGCTGACCAGAGAATGTCATAAGCACATCTCAGGTCTAAGGGATGATGAAGTAGATCACACTTCTTAATAAAGGAATGGCTGAGGCGTGCTGAGACAGCAATCGAGACTGGGCATGGTGGTGTGCGCCTGTAATCCCAGCTCTTGGGAAGCTGAAAACAGGAACATCACTATGAGTCCTATTTACGTAGTGAGACCCTTGCCCCTGCCCTAAATTCATTTAAAAAAATAATAAGGGAATGGCAAAGTCATGTTTCACTAAAATGCACAGAGAGGATACAGTTGTGGCCATCTTGGTCTCTATGACACCATTCTGGGCAGGGAGCACCTGAAAGCCTTGTCCATCTGCCCCCATAAATGGGAGACCCAAACTCTTCTGTAAATGGCAGCGGAGTTCAACCTGAAACCAGCTCTTAGTTGCCTTCCAGCTACATAAACAGGAATAGTAAAGACAGGGTACCAGGCTCCGGTAGCAGGTATTTCTGGGTGCCCATAGACATGTTAGGCAGACCTCACGGGGTGCTCATAAGCAGATGGGGAGATCTCTCGGGCACAGAAGTCCACTGTGCTCATTGGAGTCCCGAGGGACAAGCCAAGATATCAAGAAAGGGTTTCTGAAGTGTGTCTTTCAGAGCAGTGACCAGCTTTGGATGAGTTACGGGGGGCGGGGATCTCGGGCAGAGTGAATGCCAGCAAGGTGACATCCAGAGGGATTTGGGAAGGTTCAAAGGGCGGTTTGTCGTGGTTGCCTTCCTCATTCGCCATTCCCCCCACATCTTTCCAGCCCTTGGGGATGGAAATTCTGTCTCCTGGAGGAACGGTTCCTGCGTGGCCTCTACGGACTGCAAACGGAACACCTCCATCTCGGCCTTGACCTATGGCACCGGCCTTGGCTTCTGGGTCAACACCACCTGCTGCCAAGGCAACTGTCAGGAGCCCACTCAGCTCGGTACGCTGCCACCAGAGGGTAGTACTGTGGTGGCTAAGGAAGGGGTGGGGTGACGCTGGAGGTGGGCTTGTCCTCAGGTGAGGAAGGAAGGTGGGCGAGAAGATCTTTCAGTTCCACTCCCAACCAGGCTCCCCTAAGTCACTCTGACCCAGCTCTGCGGGAACCCTCAATGTGACCATTCCCCTGTGGCCTAGCCTGAGTGCACCGAGGGCCTGGGAGATCCTGAAAGTCCTCTTGGTTCCTTGCCCTGTACAGCAGCTCTGCCGCCCTCGAGCACATACCTGTGTCCTACATGCCTCAAGGGCCAGCCCAGGTCCTGCAGCTCCACCTTCTACATGCAGTGTCCTCGTGGGGAGACCAAGTGTGTCCAGCTGGACCTGACATCAGATAAAGGTAATGGAGGCAGTGCATGTGCACAGTGTGTGTGTGTGTGTGTGTGTGTGTATACACATGTGTGCAAGAGTGAGCCTGAGCACACTTGTTCTGGATAACACACCTGAATTTTGGGGCCTTTATTTACTCTGATGGCCGGACGTGACTTTGCCTTTCGGTGCCTCAGTTTTTCCATTACACATAGTGGAAAATAATAGTCTCTAAGTCATATGGCTACTGAGACATTAAACTTCTAGACGAAGGCTTTCTGAAAACAGTATAATGTGATTCACACGTACAATGTAAACTTTTCCAGCAGTCTTGTTAAAAAAGTAATGGGAAATTAATTTAACAACATATTTTGTTTAACCCAACATGTCCAACAGTTGCCATTTCTAATTCGCAATCAAGACAGAGAATTTTAAATGAGGTAGCTTGCATTCAGCTTTTCCTGAGGCCCTGAAATCTGGTGTTCGTCTTTTACTCCCAACACATCAGTTCGCTCCTGCTGCATCTCAAGTGCCCCGTAGCCACGTGCTCCTAGTGGTTACCACGAGAGGCACAGGGCCAGAACACAGTGAGGGCCGCGCGGAGCCCTGTAGTCTGAGCCAGGGATAGCGGGAGGAAGGAAGACAGAGCTCTGTTCCGGAATGTTAAACTGTATGCGTGTGTGTGTAGGGGGGCTGTGCATCCTGGAGCTGATGAAATTCAGTGAGTGTTAGTGGCCGTGGCTGCATGGGCCTCTCTAGTTGTCCAGGGAGGCTGCACTGGGCACAGCTGGGGAGTGCCCTATACGCGCCTGTGTGAGGCTCTGGGGAGAGTGTGTCCGTCGGTGCACAGGATGGGTGTGTGTGGATGTGTGTTGGGTGCAGGCCTCAGGGTTGTCGTGGAGCTGCGTGTGCAGGTCCATGTGTGTGCTCCTGTGTGTGTGTGTGTGTGTGTGTGTACACGCGCAAGCCCATGAGTTAGAGTGGGTCTGTGCAGTGACTCACAAACACCACCCGGAGGGGGCACGTACACCCATTCAGGGCAAAACGAGACCAAGGTGAATCATAGTACTAAGTCTGGCATTTCTTGTTTTCCTCCTTTTTGGGGAGCTCAGCCTGAACCCAGAGCCTCTGACGGAGCAACATAGCCAGCGCCTTTTTTTATTTTATTTTTTTGGTGGAACTGGGGATTGAACTCAGACCCTCGCACTTGCCAGGGAAGCACTTATTCTACTGAGCCATCTCCCCAGCCCCTAGCCCCTTTTTTAGAGTCTCACTGAGTCACTAGATTGCCTAAGCCTGGCTGGAACTTGCAGTCCTCCTGCCTCAGCTTCCCAGAATGCTGGGATTACATGTGTGCACACTACCCCCAGGTCGACATTTCTTTTTAACTTTTTTTTTTATTATTAGGAAGTTCAAATATAAATAAAAGCAGAAGTTTAACAAAGCCTATGAATACTCCCCACCCGTCTCCAAGCTGACCCGAATATTTGAAGCAAATTTGGACATCACATCACTTCACCCATCCATCTCTCTCCAAAAGCTAAGGAATTAAAAATAAACTCCAGCTAGGAAGGTTTTTAAATGTTTAAAAGGCCATTTTGTTTATATATCCCCTACCATGTTTTCAATAAACCGGCACATTCGCACCTTTATATCCAAACATAAACACACCACCTCTCCTCATAGGTATGAATCCGAGAAGCACAGGGAAAAATTGGAAAGCTATACATTAGATGGCTGGATGATGTGTCAAACAGTGAACCCCGAAAGCCATCCTTTTTGTTAATACCTGTAATGAAGGGGACAGTAGCGACCAACGCCAGATCAGGGACTAGGGGGTGCCGTGCGTGCTTGCGCAGGTGTCACAGGCCTGTGGGCGTCCCCACGGCCCTCCCCACATCCACCCTCTGTGTCTCTGCAGGCGGCCGGAATGTGAGCATGCGCGGATGCGGCACCCCAGATCTGTGCAGCAGCGCCCTGGCTGTGACCAAGCGGCTCCAGGAGATCCCAGGCCTTCCCGATTTCGGGGGCATGCGGCTGTCGCGCCGGCCTAACTGTAGCCCTCGCCGCCGCGCCATCATTGAGTCCTGGGGTCCCTCGGGCGCTGCCCGCCGCCTCCACCTGGCCCTGCCGTTGCTGGTAGTGGCCCTGGGGGCCGCGACGCTCTGCTGAGGACTCATGCCTGGTCCTTTGATTTGACCACGACCAGTGGCCCCCGGCCTCACCTCTGCGGTGCTACAGCTGGAGCCTTGAAGCTTCTGGTGATGAAATCAGGATGCTGGGGTGAGCCTGGCCCACTAGGGCTTCCCAAAGGCCAAGCCCGCTTCCTGGTAGCTGCGTGGGCAAGCTGTGCCTTCCCCCTGGCTAGGGCGTCTGCTCCTCTAGGACTAGAGCTCAATCTCACATAAGGGGCCTCTCAAGCCCAAACCTCCTCCCTTATGCTGTTCTGTTCTTTGTTAGATTGAACACACACACATCTCCTTCAGATCAGGGAGCCCCCAAAGCTAAGCCTACCTCTTCAAACTAGGGAACCCCCAACACTAGACTGAATTATCTCAAACACTAAGAAGCAAATTTCTCCTCTTGTCTTCCTCTTCAGGCAACGTCCTGGCAGCCAAGGTGGGCCTTGAGGACCCAATGCACCCACTCCCAAGGCATTTAGAGCAACTCATCCCAGTCCTGTCTGGGGCGGGATGGGTGGGGATGGGGGTGGGTGGTGGTGGTGGGTGAAGAGTCCTCCTACTGTTAGGTTCCCTCCCCCGGCAGTAACCAAAGCTGAATAAATTGCATCTCACAGCACCACGTGGTTTGAGTTTCTTTTTATCCCTCTTCCTCTGTCTGTTTGAGACTCCGTACACAGTCCAGGCTGGCCTTGAGCTTGCAGCGATTCACCTGCCTCAGCCTCCCAAGTTCTGGGATTACAGGCATGCACCCCTAACACTGGGCTTGAAGTAGGAGTCATTTTGGAATAAGCACCAAACAGAGAAGATTGGGCAGAGGTAAAAATGGGGAACTCACGGTTGGCAGAATGCCAGGAACCATCTACTTCAGCTGAAAGTAACAAGCCAGCCAAAAGAACTTGAATCATTCCTCATTCATCCAATGAGTGTTTCTTGGTCATTTTCTAAGCATCAAGCACAGTTTTACTGGTAGGTACTGGAGATGAGGACAGAAGTCCCTCTTCTGGTGCTGTTTGTGTTACAATGAGGGAATTGGATTAAAAAAAGATGCTAGAGGGCAATCAGTTTCATGGAAAAAAACAGTACAGAGAAGAGGAATAGAGGTGAGTGGCCAAGAGGTCTGATTTTCTGTAGGGTGGCCTCAGCAAGAGGTCATTTGAGTAAGGAGCTGAAGGGAAGGAGAGGGCTGTGCAGATATCTGAGTGGAGGAAGGAGCATTCCAGGAGAGAAAACTGCAAATGCGAAGCCCCAGTAAGAGAGCTAATGCTACACAACAGAACAAAAATAATAGAGGTAGCGGCATCTAGGGGCTATTGATTCTGTAGTTCGAAAGAGTTGTATTGTGGTCTTTTCCAATTCTGGAACTAAGTATTAAGCATCCACAATTTAAAAACGGGAAACAGTGTATGTGGTTCACGACTTCAGAGAATTCAGTTCATCGAAAGCTGTTTTCAAAGCAGGAAAGTTTGGAGGAACGAGATGGTGGAGCAGAGCTGCTTAGTTCGTGGCAGTTGGAAAGCAGAGCAGAGAAACAGCCCTCAGTAGGAGGGGTGAGAGAGGTCATTGCAGATGCAGAACTTAAGGTCCTGCCTCCATGAGCCACCCAGACTCACCCAGAAGGACGCTATATTAATTCCCTGGGCAGCTGTCAAGCCAATCATATTCCTAATCCACTTTACCTGTCACATTCCACCCCTTCTCAAATTGATACACAAACATCTCACCTTAAGCCATACTTAATCTCCCTATAAGGACAAAAGTTATAGATCTGTCTAATATGATGCAATGATCCAGCATACAACACAAAGCACAATAATCCTTTTTACAGTGTCTCAACAGCACCAGCCAGCATTGCTAAAGTTCAAGTCCAAGGGTCCTCTGAGACACAAGGCAAACTCTTAGCTGTGAACCTCAATCAAAGACAAGCTAATATAACCCCAAAGTACAGTGACACATGCTAAACATTTCCATTCCAAAAGGGAGGAATAGAGGGTTAGAAAAGAATAGGATTAACAGGGCATGGTGGTGCACACCTTTGATCCCAGCACCAGGAGGTTGAGCAGGAGAATGGCAAATTCAATTTAGTGACTTAGCAAGACCTTGTCTCAAAAGACACAATTTTAAAAGGGCTGAAGGGGCCGGGGAGATGGCTCAGTAGGTAAGTGCTTCTCTGGCAAGCACAAGGGCCTGAGTTCAATTCCCAGTTCCAAAAAAAAAAGAAAAAAAAAAAAAGGGCTGAGGATATAGTTCAGTGTGAAGATCCTGGTCTCCAGAGAGATGGGTGGGAGGGGGAGAGAGAGAGAGAGAGAGAGAGAGAGAGAGAGAGAGAGAGAGAGAGAGACTGAGAGAGAACCAAAGCAAGAGCAGAAGTCAGCATGACAAACATTAAGTCCTACAGCCCCGGTTGAAAAAGATGTGATATTTTTACACAATGGAGTATTATTCAGCTATTAAGAATGATAAACTCGAAGCTTTTATATTGAAGTGGATGCCACTTG